CACACAAAGACCGCGCCGTTGAAACTCTCCAAAGAGTTCTCATTCAAGTTCAAAAGTTTCTCGATGAAAAATGTAACATTCACCACAAAGTTGATGTTTTTTTGTTTTTTTTAATTTTTGAATGCGCTTTTGCAGGGTCCAACCGGTCATCGGACTACCTCATTCTCCGTCTTGGACATTCTGGACCCCAACAAATTCACCAGCTGTCGGAGACTCGCACTACAGCAGAGCAGCCAGGCGGATGACCAGCACTTGGTCGCGCAAAGTGGAGACGTCAGAAGGGGGCCCGCTGGTGAATCCGAAGCCGGCCTCGAGCCCAATTATGGCGCACGGGAATACCACAGTAAGAGCGATTTTATGGTTGTCAACCGACAAATCTACTCACCTCACTTCGACGTTTTGGAAATTGTATCAGTTGAATTTGTTCACATATTTTCAATTTTATTTGTTCATTTCGTTTTGCAAACATTATTTCAGATATATGCACGGATCCGTTTAAAATGGAAATCGATCATGATCTAAGTTTAATGTTTTCAAAACTGATACACATATTAATACTTCATCTTAAAATTGATATTTTACCAACGACTGTCAAAATACCCCCCTTATATCGTGTTTCAGGAATAATATATAGATTTGCTGACGTTGTTTAAAACGACATTGTATTTCCATTGGGGTTTTCAAGACAATAAAAATGCGTATAGCTCCACTGTGTTTGGTGCTAAATAATAAAAGGCATCTTTAATTAAAACGCAAAAACGAAATGTTTAGGTTTTATTATGTTGCCATAAAATAATGTGTCGACATTTTTCAAGTCTTCATCAAGCACATTAGACACACTGTCTTAATTAGAAATCAGAATGACTCTTTCCTGTATTTGAATTATTTCCACTAATCCGCTTGGCTTGCAGGCTGTACCTTTCATTTAATGTCATTAATTTGAATGTATACGTAAAAAAAAAAAAAGCAAAAACCTTCATATAATCCAGATGATCCGAACATATTTTCCCCCAGTTACTTCATTTTAATAATATCATATTTGAACCTCATTAAATAACTAATTCTTTGTTTTGCAAATACATCAAATTCAATGCAGCGACTCACAAATTTCAATGACAATTTACATTGCACCATGGACTATTTCATTTATTTGCAAAGGGTTGCACAATTGCAACGTTTGGTCAATTCAGAATCATTCAAGCTTTGCGTGGTCTTTTCAATTTCATTTCAAGTATCCCCTTTTGTGAGGCCTGTAACAGACCCGAAAAATATTTCGGCTGGAAGCACACACACACACACACACACACACATATACATTTCAACACGTAAATATTAAGTGTCATCCCATAATATAACGTGGCTGTCGTTTGCGCCGCTGCTGTAACAACGAGGAGGTTTGTTGATTTCATCGGTGTCGGCTCAGGCCCACGTCGGAGAACGTGCGTCATTCCGTTGGGCTCTGACGAGAGAGGCCGAGACGTGGCCTGAAAGAAAGATTCGTTACAGGTCTCAGCAAGTGGTTGTAATCGTTCGTGGAATATCAAGGGCTCACCTACTAAATTCGTCATAAGGTTTGCCAGTAAAGATACTTGAAAAAACGTTTGAGTGTGTGTGTGTGTGTGTGTGTGTGTGTGTGTGTGTGTGTGTGTGTGTGTGTGTGTGTGTGTGTGTGTTGCATTTATGGTTACATGCAGGGGCCAAATAAACCTCAGAACGATGCGGTGGTGGACCATTAATCAATACTGTACTTGGAAAAATATATGGATATTAGTTCTTTCTCCAAAATAAATGAAATAAATCAAAGTGTTACTTTGGGTTTACCTCTCATACTGGTGGATGAGAACACATTTGCCTGTGTAGTACATGGTACGTGACATAGTGTCGGGATATGTCAGTCCCCTTGAAGGCAAATTTATTTGATTGTTTCACTGTCAAGTATGGCAATTTTTATACCATAGATAATGTAAGTCTATAATGTATGCTGTATTTGACAATATTTTTTTTCAAAAATATGAAATTAAATGATTTAAAAAAAACAATTCTATACACCACATACGTTATAAAAAAAAATCAATCCAAACAAAGCAAAACAAAAATATAAACTTTTTGTATATGGTTGCCTTTCAGATTGTGATTATGTGCAGCTAAGTGTGACCATAACTATGAACCTTAATAAATTGAGTTTAAAAATACTAGTAAACTGGTTACCTAAAAAACAAACAAACAAACAAACAAACAAACAAACAACAACAAAAAAATCTCTGTCATGAAGGGTTTCCCCACTTACGTAAGTGAATATTTTCAGTATTTACTTCAGCACAGTAGTTAATGGAGGACTATTCTACAGAATGTCTTTAACTGAATAAACATAATACATTACAACTTCAATTATTAAGTTGACAATCATTTTGAAAAAACTATTTTCATTTCCGTGGGTTTCATTCTGAGTCGATTACATTTCAAATCTTTTATACAAATAACAGAAGAAGTGACTTTCACCATTTACTATAGTCAGAGGTCACCACTGCAAGGCACTCAGATGGCATATTTGGCAGAGGTTCCACAGCCATCCATTTTTATTTGGGTTAAGGGACCAGGGTGTCTTACCTCAGGTGAACATTAGTATTTGCCCTGACCGTGAATTGAACCTCAGTCCTTATGTTCAAAGTCAGTTGTGTTATCCACCAAGCCATTCAGCCACCAAACGCTACTCAAATGCCTTACGTAGAGTTGCCATGTCAGCTGGTTAGCTGTGTTTAATTCACTCAACGAATATTATCACAATGCAAGAGGCACATATTAAAACTGTATCTAACTGATGGGCCAATGTTTGTGAATGTAGAGAATGTTGGGTTTTCATCAGTGTTCATCAAAGGTTGCAAAAATAAAAATCACACACACCAGCCCTGAGGGGGCTAATCTTTTATGGCAGTCATTGGTGTGTCCAGGTCTTTTGGTCCCTGTCCTGCCAGACAATCACTAAGCACCACTTCCTTTTTTAATTGGAACCGGGGTATGGTTAAGACTAAAAGTAATCATTATTATTATATTGAGCTGAAATGTATGACTGTATTCAAAATTCGTAAAGTATGCCTGAATTACGCAAGTCGTGCAACAAAACATTTTACCTTTTTGGGGACAGTGGTTACTACAGTGGACAGCTTATGTTATCAGGTTACAGGTTGTCATTATTGGTGCATGAAAGGGTTCAATTCATGCACATTGTACTTGAATTTCTAATTGGAATATAAAATTTGAATTTTGAGCCTTGATCAGTTTGGTTTCTAAGCAGATAATGTATTAGTTAGAATAGAGGCAGTACGACAGATGTATCTTAAGATCCTGACGAACTTTCATCTAGCATCGTATAAATAATATTGAGAAACCAAGGTGAATTATGTGACAGAGAATTTGCAAAATTAGGTTTAGGGTCCGGTCGCAATTTGAAAGAAGCGATATGCATTCACCAGATATATCACGCTAAACCCCGAATTTTAAGAGTTTACTCGAAATTTTGTGTGGAAACCGATTGCTGCTTTAGGTTTTACACATGATAAAACGTCACATGTTCATTCGTAAAAAAAAAAAAAAAAAAATTAAATAAAATAAATATGGCTAAACATGTTTAGTTTACATCAATTAACATGTATTCATGGGTATGCAACCGTTTGACATGGTATAAAAACACATCATACAGCAACATTTTTCCCTTGTAACTGGACACATCCAAAACAAGGTGTGGATGGAACCATAAAAAGAATTGGTAATAACTTGCACAATCTAATGCGAGCCAAAGCAAAAAATGTTTTTTTACAAAAACGATCATAGGGAGAAATTGAATTATGTTTATTTTGGATTTATTTTTATGATACTAAAAATGTGAGAGCAAAAAAATGGACAAAAATACATAAATATTAGCAATATTTAAATAAAAAAATACAAGACAAATAATTCAAAGAGATCAGAAAATATGTTCCAAAAAATCCAAAGTGATTGACAAAATAAATCCAAATAAAGAAAAATACACGTAATAATGTGCAAAAATCTCTGCAAAAATGTAACACAAAGTACTAGTTGAAAGCAATACAGAAACATGACATAACAGCAACGATCTAAATCTGGGGTGCCCAAGTCCGGTCCTCAGGAGCCCCCCTCCAGCCTGTTTTAGATGTATGCTTTGTCCAACACACTTGATTTATGTCATCAAGATCGTTTATCAGGCTTTTGCAAAGCTTGCTGATGAGCTGATCAAAATTCTGGTCAAAAATATATTCACAAATACCTCCACAAAAAAAGCACCTTCACACTGAACTGTAACTTTAAAATAACTTGAACGTGGGCAGCAGGACACAAGAAAGAAGAATGAGTCACTTCGATGACATCAGTTCAGCCTGCTGGCACAAGTTATGAGCCCTCCAAAGCGACCGGATTTCTGCAATCTCAGCATCATCACCAGTTTGTGAGAACCAAAAACTTGGTGGACAACGGCACACACAACACGATATTGACCCTGTTTGTTGAACACGACACTCACGTGTCCCCCAGAACCCCCACACACAAATGTCCACACAACCGGGTTTGGGAGCGTTATTTTAAAAATGTATTCCGATACAGTAAGCAGTGACCTGTCATAAAATGTAATCAGTAACCTGTTATAAAATGTATTCATTAACCCAATCGAAATACCTTAATATTAAAGTAAAGTAACTTACTTCATTATACTACCGTATTTTCTGCACTCAAAGGCGGACCTAAAAGCCTTCCATTTTCTTAAAAGCTCACAGCGCGCCTTAAAATCCGATGTTTCTTGTGTATGGTCATGGCGGTAACATTTCGACCCCAAAAATGGCTCCTTGCTCTAGACATGCTGACAACGCAGAGTTCAAACTTAAGGCGATCGGTTACGCGGTTGAACACGGAAATAGCAGCGACAAGAGAGTTCAACGTTAACGAGTCAATGTTATAACTTGCTCTTGGTTGAGTGAACTGTGTTGCTGCTTTTTTTTTAGTTTTACTGACATCTGATCATTCTGTTGCCATTTCCTTGAGCGTAGCTCCATCTAGTGGATGCATTGTAGATTGCGTCTTATATTGCGGTGTGCCCAATGTATGAAAAAAATTACAAAATAGGCCAATCATTGAAGGTGCAACTCATAATCCAGTGCGCATTTTAGTGTGGAAAATACGGTACCATACTGGAAACAAATTATTAATAAATACAAAATGCAAAAAAATAATGATTATTTTACTGTTTTCCGTTCGGCATAGTTGTTGCTGGTATTCCAGCAGCATGTAGAACAAAAGTTGTCGGAAAAAGTGCTGCCTCATCAGACGCGCACATGTGGAAGAGCCCCTCACCTTGTTGCAAAAACACCAAATAGCCTCCCTGCTTAACATGATCATTGCACTGTACATTACTGATGAAATATTAGAAACTACTAATATGGTTTAGCGGTGCGAACATTATTTTCAAAAACATTCAAGAATAATTAATGATAAACGTTTTACAAAGTAGGACAAACAAATTCCGTGTTTCCAATGTAGATAGTATTGACTGACATCACAGTTTTGTGTGATCTCCAGAAGGCACAATTTTGTAGGTCTCGCATAAAGCGTGCCAGTCATTCGTCTTGT